GGCAGCCGTTTTCTTTTTTTCTATGGTTGGTTTGGTTTCTAAAGCAGCCGTTTTCTTTTCTTCGGTGGTGGGTTTGAATTCATCGGCGGCCGTTTTCTTCTCTTCGGTGGCGGATTTGACTTCATCGATGAGAGTTTTTTTTTCTTCGGATGCGGGTTTGATCTGTTCAACGGCAGCTGGTGTACTTTCTCGGGCTGATGTAGTCACTGCAGGCTGTGCGTTTTTGTCGGTGGAGATCGGCGCTACAGGTTTGGGGGTTTCACCCGTTTCCACCAATGGAGTTGGATTATTAGCCACACTGGCTGAATTGGGTAGGTTTACTACGGAGGCATCTGTTTTGGGAGGAGTAATATCTCCTAGGTTTTTATCTTCAGTTCTTATACCACTGACAGGCTGTTTTTCTGCGTTTGGTTTTATTACGATGTTGTTTTCAGTTGTTTTATGTTTGGTCTTGCCCTGTTCCTCATTAATCTTGTAGAACCTTAGATCGATCTTAGCTGCCTTTGGTGTTATCCAGCTTGATATCACGCTTTCATATTTTTCCTTCCACGTAACCTTCTGTCTGAGTATCTCTTCTTCGAAATGCAAGACTTCCAATAATGTCGGGTTCCGGTTTTCAACTGTGTTGCCAAAATATTTTTCATTAAAACTCTGTAATATTTCRAGATCAGCTAGGCTATTTAAAGCTCGGATTCCTGCATGTAACATCGTACTCAATAATCCAACATTAGTATCTGCATATCTAATTCATATTATATTACATAAATGATCACATGTTTTTTTTAAATACAACATTTAACTTACTCTTGATTTAGCGTTTCCCAGTTGTTTCTCAAGTAATTGAATGGGTATTGRCCCGCAGTTGGATTATCTAAAATTGATTGCCAAATGTCGGTCAAGTCGTCGTATTTCACTTCTTCCGCTGTTAATATCCTGTAACGTTGTATAATATAGAATTTATAAAATAATATCTGCCCGTCGTTTAATGATGTGTTCGAATGTACTTTTGTAAAAATTGTGGGTTTCGCGAACACGAAAAGCTTTTGGCTATGGATTTTCTGTCTGGCGTCCATTTAGCATTTGTGTATTTACTCAACATAAATCTATGATCGTACTTTGTGGCATATTGCATAGCAGTACAGTAAACGGATTTACGATCGTTTGGTGCGATACTGTAAAGGAAATTAACAATAAGTTAGTAAGTTAGTACTGTGTCTATATATAAATCATTTAGTAAACATAAAAGTTTCTTAAAGAAAATTCAGTTCTTAGTTAATTTGTATGTGTGTGTGTGTGTGTGTGTGTGTGTGTGTGAGAGAGAGAGATTGTGTGTTCGTTCGTGAGCTATGTATATATTATGCTGTACACGTTATAAAAACTTTTAAATTATAACACATCCGAACTTAGATAATCATATCAACTTATCATTAGCTACTTAGATTTAAAGTGCTTCGTGCATATGCGTTTGGKTGTGACTGGGTCACATTTTTCATTGAAAAAATACTTATGATAGTTCGTAGGAATAATTGTATGGGTCATTCTTAWTACTTATATAATGTACTTATCTATATAATTTTAATCAACTTGAATCATTTTAAAATCGAGTTTAATACTTAATTGCTATATTTTTTTTTTATATAGAAGTAATTTTAGAAAAAAAACCTACTACCTATAGCGAATAATTACATAACTCAAAATTTAAGCACAATATTAATTATATTGGAAATATATGGATATTTGACTGTGATAAAAAATTATAGACATTGAATCTAATGAATTTCTATTATATTGCAGAGATAATTAAAAATAAATTA